GGATTGGCCATGCTAAATTGCCCATAGTGTTCAGGGATGTGTAGGTTAGGTGGGTTATAAGGGGATGGGTCTGGGTGGGATGCTCTGAGGTTCAGTGTGGACTTGTTGGGCTGAAGGGCCTGTTTCCACACTGTAGGGTTCTATATTGCAGTTGTACAAGACATAGGTGAAGCCACTTTTGGAATAGTGGCTGCCCTGCTATAGGAAGAATATTATTAAATTGGAAAAGGTGCAGAAAAAATTTACAAGAATTTACAAGAGGGTTTGAGGAGAGGCTGGATAGGCTGGGATTTTTTTCACTGGAGCATAGGAGGCTGAGGGGCAACCTTATAGACCTTTATAAAACCATGATAAGGTGAATAGCAAAAGTCTTTTCCCTAGGGTGGGAGAGATCAAAACTAAGGTGCATGTTTTTAAAGAGGGGAGGAAGATTTAGAAAGAAAATGAGGGACAATTTTTTCACGCAGAGGGTGATCCATATGTGAAATAAACTGCCAGAGGAAGTGGTAGATGCAGGCACAATTAGAACATTTAAAAAACATTTGGACAGGTACATGGATAGGAAAAGTTTAGAGGGATATGGGCCAAACACAGGCAAATGGGACTAGTTTAGTTTGCGATACCTGGTCGGCATGGACTAGTTGGACCAAAAGGTCTGTTTCTGTTCTGTACGACTCGACGACTCCATAGCAGATTAGCTTTCTTTGGCTTTGAGTCAACCCAACAGCATGTACAGTGACACATCCCAAAATATTTGGGTTCAGTGGGAAAAATAACTGTTAAAATTCCATTCTCCACCAGACAGACCAGTTGATGATTTCTTTAAGAGGCATAACTGGCCATTGATTTGTGCCAATTGGATATCCCACTCCCTCCCCTTTGAAGATTTCAAATTATCCCAGAATTGACCCTCAGGATTACAAATTTCAAATCGCATCCACACTGGATCCTGACTCCTGTTTGAAGGTCTGGCCTTCACGCTCCATCCTGGTATTTAAAATTAACAAGAGGACCACTTATGTCTGTCGGTCAACACAGAACTACTGCCCAGCAGAGGTGGGATAAGGGGAAATGTCCTTAGTAGCCATTTGAATGTAAAGTGAGAGGTCAGTGATGTGAAACGGATTGTTGCTACCCAGTGGAATCTGCCTGAGCTAAACCAGCTCACCAAGAAACAGATGCTTATTTCCAGTTTAATATCATCACTCTCCATTGAAGACTTTTTTCACTCTTTGAAGAACAGATAACGTGAACCCTGCCAAAGGACTCTGACAATTGTCATTCCATTTTCAAATTAATTAAGTTGTTCATAAGACCAAAAAGAGATTAATGCTCTGAAATATGTATAAATATAGATTTGCTCTGTGTGTAGTACAGAACTGATTTTAGTTGCATAAATTATATCGCTTCTGCCTGAGATAAAGTTATTACCTTAATTGAAGTCTGAGTGTATTCCACTCATTACAGAGTAGTAACTGCATTTTGCTATTATTGTGTGTCTGAACTGACACTTAAGAAGCTTCATTATCTTCCCCAACCATCTGACGATGGAGTGGGAGGAGGTCAGGAATGTTATTGCTGCCTGCCTGCTTTTCTATTCTCTTCCGCCCCATGTTGGGTTACAGTCTCTAATGACCAGAAACTGAACTGGCCCTACTATCTGAACGCAGGGCCTGCAAAGAGCAGGTCAGAGGCTGGTAATCCTGTAGCGAGTAACTCACTTCCCGACACCCCAAGGGCCTGTCCACATTGTGAAGGTGCAGTGGCTTTAAGAGGTTATTCTGCCCTGCTCTTTTGAAGAGAGGTTTTAAGGCAGAGATGGCCAGCAGTTTACCACAGCCAGAAGAGTTAACAGCTTGTGAGGCCTCGGATTTTCTTTTAAAATTTGGAACAGTAGAAGCAGTTGGGTGTGTGTGCGGTCAAACTCCCACAGAACCAGGATCTTTAGTTTAGCTGTCAGCAGTTGCTGTTGGAGTCTTGAAGAGGTGGAAATTATTTTTTTGTTCCTCTCTCAGTTACAGCCAAAAGCTGGGATGCTTTGGGAATAACATCTGAGACAATCTGTTTTCTGAATTTTCCTTTCGCCTGGGGTGTGTTTTTGGGATGTCACTATATTGGAAGAGTTAGTGACAGTTACTGTATCTATTATTCTGCTAAGTTTTCCAGTAGAGTTACGCTATTCCAATTCCTTCTTTCTTTTGCTGTATTTTAACTATGGTGTATGAACAAAGTGTGCTTTGCTTTAAATCCAGTAGTTTGATCAATTGAATTGCATCTGGAATGCAGCACCTGACATTTACCTTTAAAATTAGAAAATGTTAGGGTCTAGGCTACTTTTTAAAATATATTTTGAGGGGATCTTGTCTGGTCCGTAACAACATCTACAAGGTGTGATGGAATACTCCCCACTTGCCCTGGATGTGTACACACTGAACAACACTCAAGAAGCTCGACACCATCCAGGATAAAGCAGCCCCCACTTGATTGGCACCACATCCACAAACATCCCACTCCTTCCACCACCAATGCTCAGTAGCAGCAGTGTGTACCAGCTACAAGATGCACTGTAATGACTCACCAAAGATCCTCAGACAGCACCTTCTAAACACACATCCACTACTATTGAGAAGGACGAGGGCAGCAGATACATGGGAACACCACCCCCTGCAAGTTCCCCTCCGAGCCACTCACCATCCTGACTTGGAAATATATCGCTGTTCCTTCACTGTCGCTGGGTCAAAATCCTGGAATTCCCTCCCTAAGGACATTGTGGGTCAACCTACACCAGTGGCTCAAAGAGGTAGCTCACTATCACCTCTCAGTGGTCAGCACTGCTTCCTCACAGCATCAGGGACCCGGGTTCAATTCCACCCTCGGGCGGCTGCACATTCTCCCCCTGTCTGCATGGGTTTCCTCCGGGTGCTCCAGTTTCCTCCCACAGTCCAAAGATGTGCGGATTAGGGTGGATTGGCTGTGCTAAATTGCCCCATAGTGTGCAGGCTAGGTGAGTTAGCCATGGGAAATGCAGGATTATAGGGATAGGGTAGGGGGTTGGGTCTGGGGGTCTGGGGGTCTGGGGGGTGGAGATGCTCATCAGAGGGTCAGTGTGGACTCGATGGGCTGAATGGCCTGCTTCCACAATGTAGTGATTCTATCAGTATTAAGGGCTACTAGGGACAGGCAATAAATGCTACATCCTGTAACTTTGTTTTATTCATTCATGGGTTTTGGGTGTCATTGGCTGGGCCAGCGTTTGTTGCCCTTGATAGCATTTTTGAGTGAAAATAAAACACAAATTATTGTCATAAATTGAAAGGCTGTTATTTATATAATACATTTCTCAAACATAGGAAGTGCCAAAGCACTGTACAACCATAGAAGCATTTTTGACTTTTATCCTATCATGATCCACTTAGGAAATGCACCAATTCTTGAGTCCCACTATTCTTTGGGTCATCATAAAAAATAATGATCTAATTAAACGACCCAAAGTTCCTAATTCACTCTGTCCGGAGGACTCGGGTTAATAGAAAACACTGACTAGGTTCCTCTACTAAATAAGAATACTATTTATTCCAAATAAACAAATTCTAGCCACTGGTAATCCAGGCTACAAATTATCAACAGATAACTTTACTAACTGAAACTCTAACCCACATCTTAAACCTCTACACTCATACACATACGGACAGAGATAAACAAAAACTTGGTTTTATGGATGGGGGGGACACAGTTCGATAGCATCAGTCTACAAACTGTGATGAGATGCTCCTTTTGCTTCCCAGGACCTCTTATTCTCAGATCTCCTTTCTGGATTCTTTCACTTAATTGCAGGAGGCACAGGGCAATTGATACACTAATTGTAAAGTCTTTGAGTTACTGGTTATTGACAGCAGCTTAGGGAAACTGATGGGGAAAAATAAATGGTTTCTTTTGGGCTTTAGTTACTTTTCCTGCAGAATTTACTGCTTCAGCATTTCTGAGGTTTCTCTCCTCTATCTTAAATACCTAACTTGTTCAGGAGCCAATAAGAGAGCTGTTGCCAGGCTTTTAACTTCCAGCATCACAAGTTGTAAAACCAATCAGCAATCTGTTGCTGGATGATTCCCACTCTATATGCACACACGTGAACACGTACACATGCATGAACACACACACACACACACACACACACACACACACACACAAACACACAAACACACACTCTGGTGCCATGGGGATCTTATCTCTCCTGCCTCACTATTTGAAGAAAGCAGCAATGCAAACACAGTTCACAATGAGTTCCAGAAACTTGCTTTCAAAATTGCAGCCACTCCTTTGATTGCCCCGGCTTAGAACAGTCTGTTTAGTTCACAATGAAAAGTCACAGTTGTTGCTATAGGTGATACAACAGGCTGTATTCGCACAGCAAGCTCCCACTGTAACCAGATGATATGGACTTTATTTCTGATGTAGACTGAGGGATACATTTTGGCCAGGTCTGCCAAGAGGCCTCCTCTGTTCTCCTTTGAAGGAGTTCAGTGTCTTGAAATCTTTTACTCCTACTCAGGGAGGAGATGGGTTCCCTGTTTAACATCTGTGATGAAGAAGATGCATAATCAAAGCGTTAACTCTGCTTCTTTCCCCACAGTTGCTGCCAGACCTTTTCTGTTTGTGTTTTAGATTTCCAGCATCCACAGTATTTAGCTTTTATTGGAGATTTGTGGGTCCTTGCATATGAATTGCAAAAAGCTAGCATCTATGTTTGGCAGGTCAAAGGGAAGGCAAATGGAATGTTGTTTTTTATTTCAAAGGGAATGGAGTATAAAAATAGGAAGGTTTTGCTAAAACTACACAAGGCAGTAGTCAGGCCACAGCTAGAATCCTTTGAGCAGTTTTGTCCCTGTTATCTGAGGAAGGATAGACTGGCAATAGAGCTAGTCCAGAGAAGGTTGACTGGGCTGATACCAGGTATGGAAGGACTGTCTTATGAGGAAAGCTTGAGTAGGTTGGGCCTGTACTAGTTGGAATATTGAAGAATGTGAGATGATCTATTGAAACAGGCAAGATTCTTAGAGGACTTGACAGGGGTAGATGAGGAAAGGCTGTTTCCACATGTGGGAGAATCTAGGACCAATGGGGCATCATCTCAAAATAGAGGGTCGCTCATTGAAGACAGAGATGAGGAAGAATTTCTGCTCTCAGAGAGGAGTGAATCTGTAGAATTATTTACCACAGAGGGCTGTCAAAGCTGGGTCATTGAGTATATTCAAGGCTGAGTTAGATCGATTTTTAATCAGGGAGGGAATCAAGGGTTATAGGAAAAAGCCAGGAAAGTGGTGTTGAGGATTATCAGAACAGCCAGTGATCTCATTGAATATTGGAGCAGATTTGATGGACTGAATGGCCTACTTCTGCTTCTACATCTTATAGTCTTATTCGTCTCCATGCTTTGCTTAAACCAGAAATAGTTCATTTATCCCTGCAGACTCTTGGACAATTTGAGGGGATTTGCGACACGTAGGTCTTCCTTGGAGATTTAGCTTTATCTGGTTACTGTGAGGCTGATTGTGATAAATCACTGAACCATTTAAGTGATAAATCCCTCTTCAAGCAGTTAGTTTAACTTGAGTTATTGGAGCAGTGACAATAACTAGTAACTATGTGGCACAGTGACCTCTCACACAGTGGGTGCAGTTTCCAGCTTGACATCTGTGTGATTCGCTGTTGATTAATTCCATGGACAGATGTCAGCCTTTGTGCTGGAGTGAATTATATTTTCTCAAGACAATGACAAAATGAAATGAAAGATCAGTTACCAATAAATCTTGACTGTAAAATTACTCAATTAAATGCATTTGTAAAATTGGTAACTTATTATGAGTTGTATTGGTGGAATTGTACAAATGGTTGAGACATAGGGAGATTCCATCTTATTCGGCATTTCCATAACAGAATGCTGACTCTCTCCTCAATTACCCGCTTCACCCAACCTGTGTCCATTTGTGTGTCAGGGATTCCTCTGATCCAGTACAGAATCCTGGCAGACTGTGGATTGGACTCTGGAATTACCTGTATCTCATACTCCTGTCCAAGGAAGTAACTCACTTTTGGCTAATCACCTAATCCTCCTCCTTCAGATTGTAACGAGATTTGTTACATTATTCCAGGCAAATTATGCATTACAGTCACATTCCAGGAGGGCAATTAGAATCCGTACAGTGTGGAAGCAGGCCATTCGGCCCATCAAATCCACACCGACCCTCCGAAGAGCAGCCCACCCAAGCCCACACCCTCCACTCTATCCTTGTAACCCTGCATTTCCCATGGCTAACCCACCTAACCTGCGCATCTTTGGACTGTGGGAGGAAGCCAGAGCAAACTCACGCAGACCCAGGGAGCATGTGCCAACTGTAATATAGGAGGCCTACATTTAAGCTGAGGGGTGGGGAAAATTCAAAGGAGACGCAAAGGGCATGTTTTTTTACACATAGAGTGGTAGGAGTGTGGAGCGCACTACTAGGGGTGGTGGTGGAAGCAGATAGCACAGGGGCATTTAAGAGACGTTTAGAGAAGCACATGAATATGCAAGCGATGGAGGGATATGGACCAAGGGCTGGCAGAAGGAAATAGTTTCATTTGGCTTCATGTTTGGCACAACATTGTGGACCAAATGGCCATTCCTGCCCTGTGCTCTTCTGTGTTCTATGTTCCACACAGAGATTTGCCCAAGGCTGGAATCAAACTTGTGTCCCCGGCAGTGTGAGGGAGCAGTGCT